TTTGAGTCCCGTTTCTCTTTTTGGGGTTTTTTGTTGTTCTCCCGCCCTGGCGGGGGGTCGGGCTAGAAGATCTACTAGGTCCCTTCCGACCCTTAATCTATGAATCTATGAATCTATAAGAGTGGTATCAGGAATTAACATTTTTTCTTCAGCAAGCATTTACTACTTTGAGATGAAGAAACCAAATGACTCAGACCTATAGGGTCATATGTTTTGGATTTGTGACAGAAAGTGAGAAAGGAATTGTATAGCCCATCCAAAACAGCCAGTTGGGCTATGTTGCAGTGCACAAGTGCATCCTCATTTGCACATGTAAAAATCAATAGGACGGTAGATAATGGTTCTTTATAATCTCATACTCCTTGTGCATTAGTTTGATCCAATACAATATTTGGGTCTACAGTGTCAATTGGGAGGAGAAGGAGTGTTGCTGCATGCCCTCTGCACTTCTTCCCGCTTAAAATTAAGCACATCACTGGTTTCGGGGCTGAATCTGCGTTCACTGGCATACAGAGCCTGTTCTGATACTGTATTTGCCATGGTATTAAGCTACATAGGAACATTTAGAGTTAAATTGTATTTCCCTTTCTCATTCCTAAATGGCACTTATGTAGCTGTAGAACTGCAGTTTTTGGCACTGCATTCAGTCTTAACAGAGCTAGGTGCATATCTGTCAGAAATAAAATTGAGGCCAGTGGCCTCCTTGTTTTAGGCCAGTGGCCCACTTGTGAGGGCACTTGTCCAAAGAAAGACCCAGATTCTTGGCGTTCTTTATCCGGTGGGGGGAGGAGGGAAGGAAGGAAGGGGTTGAACCTGTATCTCCTGCCACCTCCTAGCGAAGTCTTCTAACCACTATGGTCTTGGGATTGCCCAGACTGCTCTCCAGTCCACATCTTGAAGCTGGCCTACTGAACCTAGAGTTTAATATTCATAAGATCAGATGGATAAATAGCATAGGCAGAGTTTTTGCACTACTGGGAGTAAGGGCCCAAATTAAGCTAGTTTCCCTTAGGCACTCTTTCCTCTTATTGAGCCACCCACCCTCTTGGTCATTCTCCTCTTCCTAATCCCACCTATCTTTGGCCTCAAACAGGTGGTCATTTCTAGTAGTGTATGCATTTTAGCTTAAGCACATCACCAATTTTCTAGTGGTGTAGGCATTCTAGATACCATTCTGGGACAGGGAGCAGCATTTGGCCTGCATCTGCTGCCGTCTCCCCTGCTCTGTGCCTCTTCCCTAGACTGGGAGCAGTCCTGTCCTAGGAGAACTGGGGTAGCAGGGAAGAGTCCTCTGTAACTTCCTAGACTGGAGACCAGCATGGAGAGTCAGTGGGAAGCAGCAGCTCCTACACAGTGAGGCAAAGCATCAGAGCTGCTGGTGTGGGAACAGATCTGCTGCGAGGAGTGAAGGGAACAGCAGGGCAAAGCCCCCATCCTGTTCCCCAGGCCAGGCAGCCCCTAGGGAAGAGGTGGGAAGCATTGCCCTGCTTTTACCCTCTTGTTCTGGACTAGACTGGGAGAGGAGCATACAAGCCTTCATTCTTGTGAGAGAAACTCTCATCAGGGAGATCTTCTAGGTTGGCACCTGAAAGATCTTTTCCTGGAAAGGAAAAAGAATCTTTTCCCCTGGGGAAAAATTGAATGACCGACCATTTCTCGGCTTATTATTTCCACCAAGAGAATGGTAGTTCTCCTGTTTAGGAATGTAGCACCTGCACATAGTCTTTGTTTCCTTGGTGTACCATAGGCTGGTTTCAGAGGGAAGTGTGGGGTCTGGAGAGTGATCCGGCCAAAGTCAAACCTGTGTCCTGTTGTTTGGAGGACTTGGCTAGGAAGCAGAAGATGCAGATTTGAAGCATCTCTGGGTGACATGGGTCTTACAACCCCACAAGTGCCCTAACTACTAAGCTATTGGGCTAAATATTGGAAGAGCCACATTACCTCTCCTTTGGTGTCTTAGACCTGTTAGGATTGTTTTTGGTGCAGTACTGTGGCACATTGTGGAAAGGGATGTGAGGCTCTTGACTTTGACAGCCAGGGTACTGGCAAGAGTTTTGTAAATGTGGACAGGATTCATCTCCCTTTTCCTGTAACATTTTATGTCTGATTGGAAGTTATCTGATTTTTTTTTAGGATCTCTTATTTCTTCATACCAGCAGTTCTTGGCAGCAATCAGCTATCCCACTGTCCCTACCTTAGTGACCTAATTACATATAGTAACCTATCTCTTTCCCTTTCCTTTTCCCTATGTTTTTCATTTTCACTTGCAACTAGCACCTGCTAAGTTACAGCAGCTGGCACTTCCATGGTTTATGTTAAACCCAGAATCCTTTGTGCCAGCTGCTGCTGTATTTCAAAGACTGAGTTCCCTGTACCAATACCTCAAAGCTCTGATGCTCCCTAGGAGCCATCTGTGCAAGTTGCATAACAAAAGCTATGCCACCTGCACTAGTATTTTGGGGGTTTAGGTATACTCCAGTGTCCTTAGCTTTGAAGCAGTGTAGCATCTGGTAGACTGGACTTTGGGACAACTGAGTCCCAAAGATATAGATATAGATGACTTTGTGATACAGAAACTGACCTGCAGCTATTAAAGTACTAGAGAAATTGAAAGGCTAAGGCAAAAATAGCAGCCTTTTTATAGTAGAACTAGGAAAAAGGGAGTGAGATGAATATTCAAACAACTGGATTAGGGATATCAATTTGAATTTAATTAGGTAGCTAACACTCTTTTATATAGTGTGTGTGTGTGTGTGTGTGTGTGTGTGTAATTTAATGTATACTAATGTATGTTAAGAACTTTTTTGTTTTAATCTATAGAGTGTTTTTGTGTTGTTCTTAACTGTGTTTTTATCTTTGGTTCAATAGTACCAGGATACAAATATGCAAGGAGTGGTATATGAACTGAATAGCTATATAGAACAACGGTTGGACACAGGAGGAGACAACCAACTACTTCTGTATGAATTAAGCAGCATAATTAAAATAGGTAAGAAAGAGGAGTTGATTATATAACTGTATATTGATGTTGTGCCTGTTCCTTCCTTATGCTTTTAAATAGAAGGTAGTTACTGAAAAATAGCCGTACTTGTTTGGGGTCTTTACTCTTAATTTTGTTCTTCATCTTGGGGAAACCTCATTGATTTCAATGAAGCTTGCCCATGGAGCAAATGTTAACTCAGCTGTGGTTCTGATTTCAAGATCAGGGCCATCTCTAAAATAAATCACTCTATTATTCTGTTTTATGGTATTGCCTGGCATATCAATTTAGCAGGTAATAAAAATAACTATCAGTAATTTTTCTGCTAATAATGCCCCCTCATCTAAGCAAAGTAAGACAATTCAGGTATCTTTTTTCCTAGAAGTCAAAATAAAAGTCAGTATGAGTTGCAGCATTTTTCTGTGTGCTATAGCTGCCTGTTTATAGATAAGATACAGTACATGAGGAAAAATAAATTAATAAAGCATCCTTCCTTTAATGTCTTTATCCAGAATGTAGTCAGATTTGCATGGAAAACATTTATACAGGCATGCTTCCATCGCATGATTCTCAAATACCAGTAACCTTACCCCCGCTTCCCTACAACTCTCATGGTCTGTAATAAAGGGAATGTTATTCTGTTTTATATGTTGCAAATCAACCATGTTTGTGTATGAATGTCACTTGAATGAATATTGGGTACTGATTTATTTCTAACCCAGTTAGTATTGGTTTCTGTTAGTCATTCAGCAAGTGAAAAGCTAGCAGAGATGTATTCCTAAAGTAATCAGACCAAGTTTTCTTTCATTGCTTTACGGTGTTCTTTACAGTGTCCAAGACACATGTAATACTTTCTTTTGAAATTACTTTGGAATTTGGATACAAACCACCTTTCTCACTAACTGTTGGCAATACCAGACTGATGCCAATAATTAAGCAATCAGACAGTGGGGTTTTGTTTCTGTCAAACCTTCATAGATGGATAACTGACTTTAAATTAACACAAATGTAATAATTCCCCTGAAATGCCCTGATTTGAGTGTCTTATTTATTCTCAAAACTAAGGAAACTGTTCAGACCTGTGCATTTGCTGAGTATAAAACATTGAAAGAGAGAGGCCTGTTTGCATCCACAGCCTTAAACCTATTGTGTAAGGCAACAAAAAAAAAACCTTAGGGCTGATATATTTCTCTTTTTCCAATCTTTCTTTTTCATTTTAGCAGTAAGATACTTCCACTAGTTTATTTCTAGGGGATTGTTATACATTTTGTATGCTTAAAGCAGTAAGCCTTTGGCTATGTTCCTCACAACACTACATGATACTTGTAATAATTGTCCACAGGTATCCATTTCTTAGAGTATCCTAATACATTCAGTATAAAGCAGATAATAAAAAATTCAGACCCTTCTCCCCAGATTGTACAGAAAGTAGAATCTGTTCTACCATATTCACTTTTAATGACAATACAGTTTCCTGTGCTAAGATAAGGACAGGCATTTTTTATCTTCTGTATATGGGAAACAACCTTTTCTTCTATTAATGGAAAGTACACTATATCCTATATGGTTATAATGTGGAATTTTATTTTTAGCGAATTTAATATATTGTGATTTATGTTCATGCAACATAATAATCATTAGACTTGAAGTAAGGACTCATTAAGTTTCAAAAGGTTGTAGCTTCTAATTATGTTTCATGATGGAAAAACCAGAAAGTATTACCATATCCCACTAACTTTGCAGGGTCCCTGGGTAGCTTCAGGGGATACAGCAATACTAGTTCACCTTTAGAAGTTTAACTGATGTCCTAAGAGAAATGAGTCTGTGGTTTCACCTCAGAGAACTTGCATAAGTTCAAGTCTCCCTCTGAGTACAATTATTTCTTTTATTATTGCTTTGGCAGCTACAAAAGCTGATGGATTTGCACTATATTTCCTGGGAGAATGCAATAATGTAAGTATTCTGGATTTAGATGCTGCTTTTCTGTACAGTTAAAAATGCATTTTCCATTTCCCCAATGATACTGTAATCTTATTTTGTACATCATTTAGCAGGAAATACTAGCTAAGTGCTGAGTATTAGTTTTACATTATTTTTATTTTTATAAATGCAGTTTTACTGAATTTAGAGCATTGGGCTGTCAAGGGCTTTAGTTTTAATCAATGTTTTCTTTTAGCTTTACAAATATAGCACTGCTCTTTTCTCTAGAGTCTAGCAACTTCATTAATTGAAGCTGCAAACTGCAGTCTTATACAGATTTCCCTCCAATATACAGCCAAATTTCATTTCTTCATTCAGAGATGTTTTTCTCCAAAAGAGAAAATTTAACTTAGAAGTGGACTCATGGTGACCTTTTTATTTTTTTAACCTGGCTGAGTTTCAGGTTCTAGTATTTCACTGTTTTTCCTGTTGCTGTCAGATACAGCCTGAGAATGAAGTAACCTACATTCAAACTAAGTCAATGATAAGCATAAAGAAATAGAAATACATGTTTAAATTCAATGGGCTATATTAATTTCTGGTGTAAATTAATTGCATATAGTAATTATAACACGTTTGAATTTAGTCCATTATTGTTGGAAGCATAATTGCTGTACTGTTGTCTGAAATTTAGACTGCATTAAGATTTTATCATCATTACAGTTTTATCCAGGTACCGTCATATAACACTTGGCAGCTACTTGATGGCTGGAATGTATGCTTTAATGGAACTCCAATACAATAAAACGTACATTTTTGTCTGAAAACTTTATGCCTTCTGTTGGTACAAGATACAGCTCCAGCTCTTCTAGCTGGAAGTGATTAGAAAAGAAAAACACTTTTCCATTGTTTTAGTTTGCCTGAACAATTAGCCAATTTTAATAATTTACTAATAATTAATAATAGTCCATTAGTTTGCCCTCTTGTTTGCGCTGTACAAAAGAGGAAAGCATAAAACAGATCACAGAAAAATGAAATGAAAAAATGTAAAGCACAATAATGTGTGTAAACCGACTTCAGCGAATGTTCCGGTTAAAGGACAGTAGCTTCTAATTATCTG